ACTCTCCCCCGGTTTTTGTAACCGGTGGAAAAAGTCTGAAACCAGAACTGCTTCCTTCTGTAGGGATGCTAGTTTGACAAGGACCTTACAGCAGTCTTCCATATCTGAGGAGTGTGAGACACCCGCATCCATTGCTTCCCGACGTAGGTCATAGGGCAAGGCGCGAAGTAGCAATGGTACTCGCCGAGCAGGCTCATAGAGTTCAAGATCGGCCTTTGTAAAGAAAAGCCAGTCATCGAAATCGGTGCCTTCTTTGAAGGGAGGGATGTCGACCGGCGCTGCCACCAGTGTAGTTACTGTCTCTCTACCCTCTGGTCCCTGGTTCTCAGACTTTAAGAGGAAGTTGGTTGTGGACGATTTATTAGGCATCTCTGTAAGAAGGATAGGGGAATAAAATGCAAATGTGATGAGCAGGAGGTGTCAATCGTCGACCTCGCGCACGTGATCCACGCTTCCAATTGGTTTCCGCCTCTCGCCTATAAAAGTCCACTTAAACAAACTAGAATATACTACAATTGTAGCGTCCCGAGGCTCCAAATGGGGTACTAGAAGGCATAAATGAGATTGAATACATGTATTCCAAAAACAATAGGAGAAATGGGAGCCCGAGCGTGGCCCGAAGGCCAGCCCACGCATACTGGGCCCAGACGAGTTCTAAAGTGACCGCCAAACGTCAGATAGTCACATAAACAAAGCAGTACACTTATCTCCTAGAGTACATGCACCCAGCTTAGCTCACTATCTCCCTCCTGGCGAAAAATCTCGGGGCGATACAACTACTGTTGCGCTTCCTTTCTGCCTTCTCTGCCTTCTTAGAAAGAGGACAATTAGGCTAGAATTTATTCGGCAATTCTATGAAGGTGTAATTAAAAGAGGTAGAACTAGACCTATATTATCCAAGATCGTCCAAAGAAGAGTCCTCGCATTTCACTTACAACCGCACTTTTTTGTCACATTGCAGGTATTGAGCCATGCCTATTGCCTTCTATGGATTAATAGAAAGTTCAGTGCAAAACTTTATTTATGTGACCACCCGATGTCTGGTGATGACTTTGGTTTTCATCTTGCCCTTTTACGCCTGAGTCCAGCCAAGGTTCATTCTCTTCTTCCTTCCTTGAATGCATGCTTTTAGCCAAATTTAATTCCTCCTTCCACCTGGTGGTAAGTCTTAGTATGCTACACCCGGCGTAGCCCCACCATCACTATCGTCCTCAGGTTGCAGCTATTTCATGTGAACTTTGTATGACATCGCGTATGGACCGTGTAGCGTCTCGAGACTTCCCACCTGGTAGAAGTAGGCATTAAGCGTGCAGCGTCCCGAGGCTTTCCAAAGGGTGGAAGAAGGCATAAGTGAAGTTGAATACGTGTATTCCGAAAGCGGCAGGGTAAATAAGGCCTTAACGTGATCCGAAGGCCAGACAAATTCTAAAGTGACTGCCAAACGTCAGGTAGTCACATAACCAAATTACCACAAAGCAGAGTCTAGATTGGCCTGAAGGCCATCCCACACGTATAAAGGCCAGAAGGATTTGCAAATACTTGCTATACATCAGGTAGCCACATGACCGAAGTATCACGGATTGTATTTAGTAATGCATAAAAGAAGAAGTAGATGCCTACCACGGTTGGGAAGTAAAGTTGTTAGCTCCTATTTAAATTATATTTCAGCCTTTTGCTTACAAGTTATAGTTAAAAAATTAATTTGTATTGTGCCAGGGACGTTGCGAATGTATTGTAAATATGCTATCCAGCACGTTTACTGTCCATGGCGTGCGCTGTCCTTATTTTACTTACGGTGATTGCAATATATGTTAGTTGTCTGATTTGAGCTTTGTAGAGGAGGCGGAAAGGCAACTCAGACTCTATGCAGGTGGAGTGCTAGTATCCTTCCTCGGGTAAGCTTGGAACTCCATTATCGAACTCATTCATCTTCCTGTTTTTGCCTCTCTAGGATCATCAAATGAACTATCTTCGTGTAACTTCCATTCTACGAAGATTGAGATAGGGAATTTGGAGTACTTCAACGAATTGTGACTACTTTGTGCTTCCGCTGCGTTACATAATGTTCAGATTAGGTCATGGCCTTGATTCAACCTTTTTTAGTCTGAATACAAGTACTCAGCCATATTCTGTGGTCTCTGCTACCGAAGGGGAAGTGTTTGGAATTTTCCTTTGGTAGCATGGGAAGGCAAACTCAATCAGATTAGGAAGCTTTCATATTCCCATCATTTGTGAAACTTTTGCAGTGCAAAAAGAGCAAACACTACGGCCCATGAAAACTATTACATCTTTGTAATGAAAAGATTGATGATGATCCCTGCCCTTTGCATTTGTTTCGCCCTATATTCCACTGGCAAGCTGGGGCGATACTGATGTAAAAATCTACGAACTTCTGTTTTCAGAGTTTTCCAATCCATACCCATGCATAGATGGCGACGACGACGACAATACGCTAACTCCCTGTCCATATGAAATTTTGTTCCTCTTTCACTCTGTCATGATCCTGTTCTGAAATAGCATTCAAACGTCTGGTCCTGGCCACAAATGAAGATCAGCAGAAATGCCATACCTTCTTTCCGACATCAACTGCAGACCCATTTAAAGATTGCGCAGCTGTCTCGTGGACGTTTCCTTGCAGCACCTGTAGCGCTTTAAGATCTACCACTAGGTAGAAGAAAAAATTAATTTAAGCTGAATGCACGCACTCTTCAAGAAGCAAAGCAGAGTTTTGGCTTGTCTTAAATGTCAGCCCACCCGTACAATTGGAAGACAAGTGCCAAAGTAACTCTGAGGCCTCAAATGGTTTCTAGGCCCTTTTTCTCAGTCCTCATGGAAAAATATTTGCTTAAGAAGAGTTCACGTAACATTTCTAAAAGGGTACATGCAAGAATGGAGAATAAGTACCGGTAGATGGATATCCGTACCGGTCAGAAAACGGGTTCTCGCAA